CTCACGGCCTTTCGCTGAGTATCTCGGTCTGACTCCAGCAGCATTGCTGTTAATTGCAGTACAAGGGCATTTCAGGGATTTTACCTGTTTCAGTCGCTTGTTCAGGGTGGTACACAGTGAAAATCACGACCTGAAATGGCTGTACTTGCCCAATTGCTAAGCTACAGGTGTGCTGTGGCAGATCTGTGCCTGTCAGCAGAGAACTGAGTCCAGGAATTAAGTAGATTTGCACCTTGCCTATCTGTTTGTAGATAAGAGCGTTACCTCAGAGCCAGGCAGTGGATATTGCTGATAGACTGAGCCTGGGTGCTGGGTTACTCCTGACTTTGACCTTGGCCATTTATATCACTGGAGGAAAAATTTTGCGTGCTTCTGTTTGCTCACGTGGAGATAAGGACACTGGTCTCTGGATTAAAAGTGTCATTAAGGGAGGCACATTATGATTATAATTATTATTTTACAAGCTGAACAGCGTGCAGGGGCTGGCAGTGCTGCTGCTGAGCCTCCTCAAGGAGCGTGTGCCTTTGCAAAAGGGTAGAGGAAGCTGTACGGGAGGATTTTCTCATACATAAGCTGAGGAAACGGATTATCTGTGAAACAGCCAACAGTTTTTATTTACTGTGAAAATCTGAGTCTCACTCTCAATTTCCCATCAAGATAAAATGCAGGCATTTGGTTAAAATGGCAACTTAATGCTCCAGAGGTTTAATTACCACCACTCTATAATCAAAATCAACACAGAGTGCAGGCTGTAGCTCCCAACTCCAACAAGAAATGCAGCTCCCCACAAAGCAGTCAATAAAAAGCAGATATATAGCATGTGCTTGGATTTTGTGGTCCTTCCCACAGCTGAACTTGCAAATCTGCTATTGCTAATGGTTTTCTTTCAAACCTCAGGTTCTCCCTTAGCTTTTATCAAACTCCAGAGCTCCTTATTTCCACATTTTAACTTTCTCTGTATAATACTTATATACACAGTACTGAATTAAGGGAGTTCCCAGTGCTGGGAGCTAAACCTCTGATTTTTTTCCTGTATCAACAGAAAGCACTGAACTAGTCTCAATAGTGGTGATTATTGAAACTTTGAGGACTGTGGTTGGAAGAAGTGTCAAGAAGGCAGATATGTTTGCTGGGCTGTGGCTGGTGTGACCTCTGGCATGGACCTCTATAGATCAAATGATTGATCCTCCTCCACTGCAGTTCCTGGTGCTTTTCTTTAAAGACTTTAAGACTTGTTAGATCATAGGACCAGCTTGGGTCTTGCTTGATACAGTCTTCCCTCTGCAAGTTCAGATTTCTTTTTTCCAGTGCATCTTCTGAATGAGGTGGTTATGCTGTCCCAACTGTTGATCCCTGTGAAAACTGCACATGCTCTATATTTTACCCATTCCTTTGCAAGCTGGGTTTTTAGGGAGCAAAGCCTTTACCTGCCTTGCAGCTATAGCCAAACAAAGCACAGGCACTGTTAGCAATGCAGTCCTCTGCCTTCTGCCAGGAGTTGAGCCCCGGCTTTATATCCCAGGATGCTCCCAGATGCTGGAGTAGCAACTACAGAAGTTGCTCTCAAAAGAAAAAACCAAACCAGCTTTGCTATGGTTTCTGCTCTTTCCAAGAAAGGGTTAGTTTTCCTCTTCATCATCATCAGCACCCCATAAAGAGCAGAACATTTTGTATCCTGCCCCTACTGACTTGTGGAAATAAGAGATACCCTAATAGCAATCCTTGTCCAAACACAGTGTTGGCCTGGTTAGTGCCAGCACTTTCCATCCAGCACTAGTATTTGTTTTTCCATGCTCTTAATCTTAGAAATTGAATCGAGTCTGATAAAAGTGACTTCCTGAATATTGCATAACAGTTTACGTCTGTCAGGAGGGAAGACAAACAGACCTGACCTTGAACTTGGAAAGTTTCCTCCCAGCAGGTAAGAGCTTCCAAAAGTCTGTGCTGGGGCTCCTGGTCTCCTTGCTGTCCAGGGACAGCAGTGAGGCTTCCCTGGCAGCCATCCTCTCTGCAAAAAAAAAAAACTTTGGAAAATGCTTTGGATCCTCCTCTGGGGACCTGAGAATCCCCCGGAAAGAGCTGCAGCAGGAAGGCAGCTTCGTGTTCTTGCTCCAAAAAGAAGGCAGAGGAGAAATCTTGTCCATATCTGGCAGGGTTTAGCCTCCAGGGATTAATTAAAGGCTTTTTCAGTTTTTCTTTCAAACCTCACAACATTCATCCCCGCCTCACTGAATAGGGAAAAGGGAGAGGCATTTTCTCTGGTGAAGCACCAGCCTGTTTCAATTTTCAGTTTTACATTGCAGTAATATGCTTTTCCTAAGGGAACACCACAGGAAGGGCAAACTTTGGCTTCTCACCATTGGAGCATTACATCATTAATATGAGCTGGAAATCCGAGCAGCGGGCAAAACAAATTCCCTAAACTTAATTCCCTCTCTCCTTGGTGCTTCTGTCCCTCTTCCTTGCCCAGGGGTAAAGCAGGTGGAGGTGTTGGCAGAGCCAGGGGGGTGGGGATCAGTGGACCACGATTGGGTGGTGATGCTACAGGAGCAGGGAGGTGTCCTGCATCCTCTGAGCTGCTGAGACTGGACACTGACAGAGCTCTGGGGCAGCAAAACCCTTTCTTCTGTGGCTCAGACTTGTGGTGGTGGCTGCCATGGGGGGAAGGAGCCACCTGGTTCTGGGGGCTCCCTGTGAAACATGGGGGGGTCTTTTGCACAGGTTTCCCAGCACCAGAAAAGTGCAGGGCTTGGGAGACTCTGGTTTTTGGGCAGCATCCTGAAGAAGCACCACAGCTCCCAGCTCAGCCCACTCCAAGTGTGTGTGTGTGGTGCCCTGCAGACCCCCCGGCTGTGCCCTGCCTGCAGTGTTTGTTTTCTGACCCCATTACTTATTCCAGTTTGGATTTCAGCTGCTTAGGCTTGATTATTTTAAACCCCCTCTATCTGATTATCATCAGCCCAGCCAGGCCAGATATGAAGCTTCCTGGGGGATCCCCAGCAGTGTTTCAGAAGGATAAATTGCCTCTCATTCATGCTTTTGGGAGTTTGGTCAGCCAAGAGAGGAGGGAGTTACGGGGATATTCCAAAGGGGGGGGAGGCAGCTCCCCCTGTATTTCCTGTGCTACAACCTCACAAATATCCGACTTTGCCGTGGGGTGGAGTTCCTTGCTGCCCTGGGCGTGTGGGGAAATGTGTCCTGGCAAGCACCCCGGGAGGTGTCAGTGATGGGCACACACTAACACACTGGCACGGAAGGATGCTTCTGGAAGCAGAGCAGCTCAGGGACACACTGGCATGGCCAGGTGCAGCAGATTGGTACCCAAACCAGGCAGCCCTCTGCAACCTCCCCAGAGCTGCCTTGCTCTTGCTTTTCGGTTTTCTATTGTTATCCTAAAGCTGTCTTCCTCCTCCTCCCCCCAGCCCCCAGCAGGATGAGGAAGCCTCCAGCTGGCCTAGGAGGCTTATCAGCTCTGTCTGGCTGGGTGTTAACAGTTTATTTGCATAAGTACCTGTCCCCGTCATATGCCGCTTGCCTTTGTGACTCACTGGAGTTGTTTATTTTTCCTCCGGCAGCGAGGCTTGCGGCTGCTGCTCCCCGAGGGATGCCAGGGCAGATGCCACCACCCCCGGGCACCGCGGGATGCCTGGCACGCTCGGGACAGGACGCTCACCCTCCCTGGCTCACCCAGTCCTCCTGCCCTGAGGGACCAGCTTGGAAATTAAATGTGTAACTGGTCGGGTCCTGTTTTCTCCTGGCTGTCAAGATAAAAGGAAACTGAACCCCCCCAGCTGTCCCTGGCTGGGGAGAACAAGGCTTCCCCTGGGACCACAGTCCCAGCTGCTGTTGCAGGGAAGGTGCCTCTGGCTGCAGGGCTGTGTGATGTGATGGGTATTTGTCTCCTCACCACTGTTAGCACTCATAGACTCACAGAATGTCCTGAGTTGGAAGGGACCCACATGGATCATTGAGTCTGACTCCTGCCCCTGCACAGGACAACCCCACAAATCCCAGAGGGTGTTGTCCAAACGTTTCTTGAGCTCTCTTCAGGCTTGGTGCCACGACTGCTTCCCTGGAGAGCCTCTTCCAGTGCCTGACTGGGCCCTGGGTGAAGAACCTTTTCCTGATATCTTTATTTTAAGGAGCTGAGATCCTTAAAGCCTCTTCTGAACTCAGGTCTCTGCTCCAAAGGCAGGGTGACCTGCCAGACCAACCCTCCTGGCTGTGCTGGGGCACCCAGGGTGCAGCTCTGCCCCAAGTGCTGGTCGTGACCCCAGAGTCACCTCCTCGGGTAGGAGCCGAGCGATCTTGTTTCTGCTCGTTTGCTCTGAAGGGTTTTTCCATCCGTAGTAAGAAAGTCATTAATGTTAAACTTCTGCTGCCAGGTACAATTGATTTGAAGATTATAACCCCTCTAAAGGGGGTATGTGCTGCATATGCAATGTGTTGAAGTCATGGCACGCAGGAATTGTTGCTCCAGTGGTTGCCTGTGATCCGTGGAGCCCAAGAGAGAATGGCTCAGGCAAACGTGGGGCTGCTCAGCAGCCTGGTAGGGCCAGTGAAGAGTGGCCAAAGGGCAAAGGTAAATTCAAATCAGCAGCTGGTACATCCTCTGCACAAGGGCTGTAATCCTATCCCAGGAGATGACAGACTTATGGTTTAACAAGTCTCCATGCTGTTGTTGCTGTGATATTTTCCTAATATGGTGCACATCCATGAGGTCCTTGGTGCTCGCAGGAGGGCAATGCTCAGTGTGGGATCCTCCCTGCAAGGAGCTACCAGGACTGAAGTATTTTCTTCTGAATGTGGCCAGAAACCTGGGAGTTGTTGTGTGGTGTGTTCTGCTGGTGTGTTCTGCTTCCCCTCCGTGGCTGATGGGCCAGTGAATCAGTTGTCCACCCAGCCAGCCACTTATGGTATGTAAAAGTTATTTTAGACACGTTTCTGGTGTCCATCATATCATTCATCATATAAAGTGCTTTTGAGGATGTACCAGTTGAGCTGTGCCAGTTGTGTTTCGCTCCTCTGACTGGGAGGATGGATGGATGGATGGATGGATGGATGGGGGAGAGAAGAGCAAGGGATTCGGCTCAGCACCTTCAGCCTCAGCTCTGACTGTGTGATGTTACAAGGCAGGTCAAAGTGTGAGAGAAGTGAGTGTGGAAAGGCAGATAACCAGCAATTTGCTGTGAGTATGGTCACTGAAGAGGATCAGTGGACTTGGTTTATCCAAAGAAAAATGCAGAGAGAGAAAACAGAGGGAGAAGGAAGCAAACAGTGCATCACGTGAATCATCCAAGAAGTGGCTAAAGGAGCAGAACCAGAGAAGGATAAATTCATGAAGCCAGGAGAGGGCTGCAGGAATCTCATTATAAATATCATATTAAGTTGTGTACCTCAAGAAATCCCTGACTTTTCATCTTTATCTCTTTCCCTCAAGTGCATGAACAGCTGACTTGTCCTTCTGGCTGCTCTCAGGTCTTTCTGAGCCATCACTGCCCATCCCATGTGCCTCCCTCTCTTCTGGCTGCACCCAGGCTGAGTTTGCTGCAAGGGAACACTGCTCAGGCGATGGAGTATCCATGTCAGCCCCCCTACGGTTAAAACCAACCTTGTAAGCAAACCCTCATAATTTTATTTATGACTTTTGGATGAGATAATGGTTTTCCACTTTGAAAAGAAAGCTTGCTACTTCAACATTTATTTTCTATAAATGCCTTGGCATTTATATTGCAACAGGAGACTATTCAGTGACATTATCTGATAAATATCGTGTTATACAGCTGCAATTTACAATGCATATATTTTTAACAGTGCTTCTAAGCTAAATTAAATGCTTCTAAAATATGGTACTTATGGAAAACAAATCTCTTTTCTAGCAATTTTGTTTTTCAGGGTACACTATTTTTTAAAAACCAGATACCATCTTTATCCTGTCAGGCAGTAAATTATGCACTTGCACTTTCATAAACTCTCCCCTTGGGAACTTAGTCAATGAAATGGAAATGTCTTTTTCACACCCTCCAACTCCAGAGAAATACAGGGAAATAGCCAACTGGGTTATAAACTGAATCCATACAAAATGTGGATTAATGCAGTCCTGATGCATGTATTGTTTAGCATATGTACCATTCACTCAAATGGTGCTTTGAGCTGTGACTGGGATCATTAATGTCTCTTTTTTTTATTTGGGAGAGTAATGGCATGTTCTGTGGTGGGATGTGCAGTAGGAAGACACCCACTGGCATGGGATTGTAACCTCCCTCCCAAGCCAGGACTCCTGTGGGAGGAGGAAAGCTCTGTTGGCCTGCTCAGGGGAGTAAAACACAATGGCTTTTACACCTTGGCGGATCTTTCCTGGGTTATGGAGTGGGAATGGGCAGGACCAGGGTTTAGAACGGCCTGTCCTGCCTTTGGGATAGTCTTTCACGAGGGAGAGCAGAGGTACTGAGGCAGCTGGACTAAATGCTCCTTGCAGGTCCCTTCCAGCTGAATTATTATTCTAAATCTACTTCTGTTTCCATCATCCATCACCCACTGAGTTTGCCTGTAGCAGTCAAACATCTTCATACAAAACCCCACGTGGTCTGAGGAGCTGTGCTATTCCCTCACTGCATTGAAGGTGGAAAGTGTGAAATGCCAACAAAAAGGAGGCAAAGGAATGAAAGCAGGGAAGGGTGGGAGGGTGTTGCAGGGGAGTCTGCTGTGATGCCCAAGGATCCCTCCAAAGCAGGAGGAGCTACAGCAGGTCTCCTGTCGCAGGAGGGGCACTGGAGCTGTTCTCCTCTCTACTGGTGGCCCTTATTTTCCCAAATATAACTCACAGGCCCTTTGAAAGCCCCAGTTCTTCCAGTCTGGCGACTGCATGAAATGTGGGATGTATTACATGCACTTGGCAATAGAGGCAAACTTAGAGAAAACGGGAAAAGCAACAACAACAACAAAAAGGAATCTTGAAATTTGGCAGAAAAAATGCAGTGCACAAACCCCACAGGAATGTGAGCATCTTTGCACAAAGCCACTTATGGATGCATTCCTTAAAGGTAATCCCTTCAGACAGAGCGAAGCTGCCATTTCTTTGAAAGATATTAAAGCAGCTGTTGCTAGAACATAGAGAATTTCTGAGCTCTCTGTCAAGGGATGGACATTTGTAATGCTATATCTACTTTATTTACAGTTTGATACCAAATTTCCAGCTACTGAAGGTAATTGAGACTGCAAACAAAATCTCACTATCCACTGATCTGCCAAATCAAATTTCTTCTCCTGTAAGTATAGTGTTTTTCCTTAGCTTCAGAGAGGAAAAGAATTATGCAAAATGAATGAGAAAGAAAAGGGATTAGTTTATATAATGACCATAGCAGCCATCTCTCCCTTGATCTGTCATAGTTTATTCTCGAAGATGGGAATGATTATTATTGTAATTTAGAACAGAGCTTGTTCTCTTTCCTTCTGCTGCATCTGCTTACTACTCTCCAAATTAACACATATTTTAATAAAAACTAAACATCCCGATTATAGCTGGGGTGTTGGATGACCCCAGCTGAGATATGGGCACAGCAAGATTTTCATCATCTCTGTTTTCCCCTCCTGGAATGTCTGTGCACTGCCCTGGTCTTTGATAGGAGTTAAAGCAGCCATGAGGCTATTCTAATGACTTCTGGCTACCAGAGGCCTCAGAAGAGGGTATCCAAGGCAGTAAATCAGCAGCTACATGTCTCCTGGGCTGTTCTCAAATTGTATGGTGCTTCTGAGGATCTCTGGGAGCTCTCTGTCATCAGAGCAGCTCCCTGCTCCATGGTGCTCCCCCAGCATCAGAGATGGGTGGGTGTCACAGCAGGAGCAGGCTGAGGGATCTCAGCCTCCCTCATGGTCTCTCACTAGCTAATGTCAGAAAATAGATTGTTTCTAAAGGTCTTCAAAATTACACTGCATTTTTTTGCTGTATTTGGGGACTACTCACACTCCCATGGTCCTGTCCTACCCGTGTGTCTGGTGCCCACGTATTATAGTAATCAACTTTGATGCCAACAAGGCAACTGGGTTTTCCTCTTTCTCTCCCGTGTCTGCACCAAGATCTTCACTGCTCTCAACTCTGACTGAGAAATTTTATTAAACCAAAGCGTCGAGAGGTGAACTAATTGATACTGTTGTTCTCCTGAAGTTGCTTTAACACTTGTGTAGTTGTAACTCTAGGGTTGAGCAGAGTCACCCCTAAAATCAAGGTGTTCACACCTCATCACCCCAGCACAGCACTCCCCCAGCGTGTGGGGAAGCAGCCATGAGGCATCAGCTCTGCAGCATTTTGGGGACTCATGGTTAGTGATGGGATTTAACTCTGCAGAACTCATACAAAACTTATAAAGATTCTGTCCTTCACTTCAAAACATCTGTTAATTCTGCTTGTGTGCTCATCATTGAGAGGCTGCCTATATTTTTCCTTTCAGGTTTGCAAAAATAAGCACGGTGAATGAAGATGAAAGGGAAATGTTGCTGGTTTCTTCCCTGGAGATCGTATTTCTTACTTGTTGCATAACTGCTTATTTTAGCATCAATCAGCCGAGCCTTTGTTGTGCAGACAATTCTGTCCTTTTAGAGGATTTGTGCAGTATTGTTTCTTCCAAAATGCCTTTTTTTTTTGTTTTTGTTATTAGATTTATTTCTTCTCTTAGCAAATGCCAACTGACAACACCCCATCAGAGCTCTTCATAAGTGTTACATAAATGTCATACTATGTAAACTCAGTGTTGGATGTATCATATACATGACCTTTCTTGGAGAACCATCCATCAGGTGCTATCTGAGTGTGTGTGTCACATTTATGTGTTTGTACACAAGCCGTGTTTAAGTGTGCATGTATGGTAGCCAAAATTCTATTATGGAAAGTACTCAAAATGCAGAAATGTCTGAACTCTTCTTGTCAGTGCAACTTCATCTACCCCCTCTCGTTGAAGCAGAACAAGACTTTAATTTCATGTTCAGATACTCTTTTCCTTCTGCATCGCTGTGTGTGCAGTGAGATGGGCAGCAAGGGGCTCAGTGATGCCTATTGTTCAGCACATGAGCCTGGGCAGAGTACATTATTCAGCACATTATTCACATGTCTGACCACTTTTGGATTTCACAGCGATAGAAAACACAGTTCAAATACTTCTCGATGCAGTTTTCAAAGCAGAGCAAGGTGCTGATGTTCTGGATGGCAAAAATGCATTGAGGTTGCATCTAGGCATGCTGTGGACCTGCCCTGCCATGCTGTGACCTTCCTAAGAGATGTTGTCCAGAAATCATGGAGAAATTGCCTCAGAGGGTGGGAAGGCTGCAGTGTGCAGTACAGGACCAGAGCAGGGGGACCTGCAGGTTCCTCAAAAGACACAGTTATAAATGTCCTCATGGTTCTTTCTACAGCACTTTCCACTACACTGCCTCAGTGCTTCAGCACCTTCATTAATCCTCCCCAAACGCCCGTTTTGAAGATGGGTCAGGGTGACACATGGATGGATTAAGGTCAGTTTTGACTAATTCAGGGTACTCCATCTGAAAAGCATAATGTCTGCTTTTTCGGAGCATTTAACATGATACAGCACTTCACACATGCAAGCACAGCACCCACTGCTTCCAGCTGCACGAAGATGGATGTCAGCAATTCAGGCTAAAGGTTTCCAGCCACGCACCCGCAGTGTGGGCACTGCAGCCACCAGCAGCCAAAAGTTTGGGTTAAGGACTTTGTTAGCATCATACAGCCTGTGGCAAGGGCATGGAGAGAATCTGCTTCTTTGGGAGAGTTTTGTCCTATTGTCACAGTCTTTCTGAGTCTCACAGCCCTTGCATTGCTCCTTGGGCAGTTTATGGTTCTGCAGATAAGATGAGGATCTGGCCAAAGTGTTTTCTTTTTGACTTACACAGCAGGTCCAGGGTGTGCAGGTGTTGTAAGGAAATCAGACTGGGGCAGTGTAATTAACAACTGCATTACAGTATCTGTGCACAATAAAATTGGTATGGAATGCCTCACTTTGGACACTTCTGATGTTCTGACCAGGTAACACAGTGACCTTCACAATATCCCCTAAGGCAGCCTGTGCACATGGATGAGGTGGGATCCACAGGTGAAGTCCTGGCAGTGAGTGTTGCTGGATGCTGGAGCAGCAGTGTCAGCACCCACTGAGGTCCCTGGGGCTGCCGGGGACTGACAGACAGGGGCTGTGCTTGTGTATCCCACTACTTTTGTAATCCCAGCAAAGGCTTTTTAACCAGGGGCTGATGTTTCCTGTTCCCTGGGGGGGGGCCTGTTGAATGGGTTCTGAGCATCTGGGGCAGCAGGTGCTCCAAAAGCAGCATCTTCAGAGATTTCAGCAGCATTGGGCTTTTTTTTTTTCCCCTGTGTTGTGAGCTGCTCTTCTTCAAAGCCCAGTAATAGGACTAATTTGGGTGGGTTTATCTAAAAGACCACAAAAGGCTGCTTCATGCCAAATTTCAAGACCCTATTTCCAGAGTTACAGTCAAAAAAACATGGCAAGCCCAAGAATGACCAAGATGATGCTCTTCTACTCTGCTTTCATCTTTGGAAGAGGCAAAGGATTTGGAGCGTTCAGAAAACATCCAGTACAGGCTGCCAAGGCAGAAAGTTGCAGACTAATTCATTCAAGTTTGGCAATTTATAAGGAGCCACAACAGGGATGTACGGTGGGGAGCATCTGGCTACCGTAGCTGTGCTTCCTAGTGGTTTATAACCGGTAATTCAGCGTTTTAGAGCTCACCAGCTTAACGAATGTAAGAGATGATGGCAGATTGTGACTGAAAGACCGTAAGAGATGATGGCAGATTGTGACTGAAAGACTGTCTTTAACCTGAATTTTAATCTTCTGCAGCAATGGTTTAAAACAGTGCAAGCCAACTTCTGTAGGGCCCCCGGGAGCTGGGGAAGATGCACGGTGTACACCCAGTTATTATTATTTTAATTCAAGAAACCGTTTCTATCCCGACAGCACCGCTGTCGTTGTTTTTAATCCGGGGGAAAACAGCTGGCAACAGGCAGCCCTGAACCACCCAGAGCCCAAAACACTCGTTCGGGCAGCGCGCAGCAGGGTCACCCCGCGGGGAGGCGGGAGGCGGCCGCGCCGCTCCGCACCTCTGCGCGGAAAGTCTGCGAAGTTTTTTTTGGGGGGAACACACACGTGTACGCACACAGGCGGGTCGGGGGGGGAGCTCTGCTGCCGCAGCAGCATCCCCAGCCCCGCCGCTCCTCGCCCCTCCGGTGCGGGCGCGGAGGCTCCGCTTCTCCCCCCCCCCCCCCCCCGCCCCGGCGGTTCCCACGCCCCGCGGCCGCGCAACTTCGCTCCGCGGGTGCGGGAGGGAGGGAAGCGGCTCCGCACCGCGGCCCCCGCCCGCCCCGCGATGGGCAAGAGCCGTCTTTTTGACGCAGGAGAAATGGCAAATTTTAAGTACGTCATTAATATGGCGCCAAAAGCTTTTTTTTTTTTTTTAAGTATAAGCTTATTTTTTTTTCCTCCCCCCGCTCCCCCCCCAAAAAA